GACGGGCAGATAAAGGACGGGAGTGCTGCTGTGGTCTGCGCCGTCGATGAAGCCATCGTCGTTATAGCTTGCCTTGTCCTCGCCGGGAGTGGTCCGAGTTCAGGAGCTTGCACTTGAAGACGGCGGCTGGCACGATGCTCCGAGTCGTCAACGGAGGGTCGTCGGGGAATGGGGCTTGCTGAACGAGTTCTTGTAGGGGTACGTTGCACGGGTTTCATACCCCGCACCTCCACCAGAAATGTCATGAATTAAGGCGACGAGAAGACGAAGGGTGAACTGAAAGATAAATGTTTAATTGGCGGACTTGTGCCACACAAAAATAAGTAACGAAAGAGCTTCGAGGTGGCAGAAAAGCGGGTGGCGATTCGGCGACACTACAGAGCGCTAGCGAAACTGACTCGACAAGGTCGCGGGCAGCTGCTTGTCTACCGTGCGTCACTATCTCGAAAGTTCGCCAAAGAAGGCTCGAGCGTCGCGCGCTCGGGGCGAGGATGAACTGGAACTTTCGAGAATAACAAAGCAAAGGAAAAGTTACGTCTGATGCGAGAATGAACGGGAATCTTCGAGAAGACCGTGACCAAGTGTTGCTTTCTCGGCTCTGCGGGCGGCAATATGATTATTGCTTATCCCTAAGCACGCATAATTTCCCTGCAAATTTAGATATATATATAGCTTCGTCTACCCGTGGTTGGTCCTGAGAAGTTGTTTTTTCGCCTTTCCTCAATAAGTTTTTTTTTTTTTTTTTTTTTTTTGGCCGCCGTGTCAAGGTGGCGGGCTTCCAGCTTTCACTGCAACATTAGGTCCTGATGAAGAGCGGTCCCCGCTCGGAACGTCGCCCAATAAATACGTTTTAAAGCATTTACCTCCTTTTTACGATATATATATATATATATATATATATATATATATAATATAAATGTTTAAATACAAATAAGAGAATCGAAACGTACAATGAATGCGCTGATTTTTAGTGCAAACGGATATTTGAATATATTTTTAAAACATCACTAGTCGTAACTGTAGCCTATTCTCGCATATCACGGGGGCCAGATGTATGAAGGGGGCTACTTGCACTCCCAGCATGGTGGGAACCGCAGGCTCTGCCGTCCGTGTGTAGGCCACTCTGAAGGCCGCCAGTGTGGCACCAGAAGAAATGCGGTTTTAGTCACACAGATATGTTTTTGTTGAAGACACAAAAAAACTTTGCGAGATCACTCAATAAAGCATGAAGTGTCCCAAAAGAACAAAACAACCCAAACAGAAAAGCCGCAGTTCACCTTTGAAGAAAAACGTGGGGGTCGTTCATCACCAACGTTTCTTTTTGGAGGATACCTGCGCACCAGAAGAAATGCGGCTTTAGTCACACAGATAAATTTTTGTAGAGGAGACACAACAAAAGTCTGTGAGACCACTCGAGAAAGCACAGTGTTCCAAAAGAACAAAACAATCCAAATAAAGAAGCCGCAGCTCACCTTTGAAGCAGAGCGTAAGCCCGTTTGGCTTCAATAAAACATAAGGGTCGTTCATCAGGTGTTTCTTTTTTTTAGGTGGATACCTGTGTACCAGAAGAAATGCGGCTTCAGCCTCAATGCATATGTATTGTGAACTTTTTCTTGAGCCGAAGGATACAGGCCGTAGTAACGATGGTGCATTTTCAAGAGAAGCACATTGAAGCTGTTAAAGGAAACTACAGCAGCTTAGCTTGCCCCTGCACATACTCATTTGAGTAAAGCTATACGCACTACATCGCCCACTTCGACGGGAAATGGCTATGAGCACGACGTGGAAAGCTCATGCTATTTGGGCTACCCTTTTCGGACGACTAACCGGAAATTCTCTTTCTCTCAAGGCCGTAGACCCGCGTCGCGCGGGCGCGGAGGGCCGTCGTGGCTCGTCTCACCGCGCCCCACTATACTCCGTGACAACTTTTCTTGGCAATGCAGTGGAAGGTACAGGCCCGCGTCCCCTCTCCCATTCTGAGTGTGCGCGGGCTCTCCTCCTCTCCCCGGAAATGGGGGAGGAGGAGAGCCTGCGTACACTCAAAATGGGAGAGGGGACGCGGGCCTGTGCCTTCCACTGCACTGCCAAGAAAAGTGGTCGCGGAGTAAAGTCGGCGTCCCGCGTCGGCGTCGCGTCGTACAAAAGCGATCAGGGCTGTTTATTTTCGGTCACATTGTGGGCAAGCGCGTGCGCTCGATCGCGTTTGGCGACGTCATACGCAACGCAACGTAGCGCAGCGTAGCCCAGCGCAAGTTGGCGTAGCTGACGAAGCGCCGTCGACGAGCTCAAACCTACGACGGTGGCTTTCCCGAAAGCCCCCGCGCAAGCGACCCCATTCGTGAATCTGGATGTCGGGACCAATCGCAGTTTGTGAGACGCTGATTTCTGCAATTTGAACGTGTCGCTCTTGCCGTGTGTCGTATGCTGTTCTCATCTTCCTATGTTGGTGTGCATATTTAAAGTTCGTGCGCTCGACTGGACGAGTGTGTGCGTGGACGCGGACTGAACTAAAGATGCGCTACACCCCATAAGCTTCGTAGATCTAACGAGTTGGATTCACACGCACGTTGTGCCGGCAAAAGGTGGCGGCTCAGTGACGCGCCAAAGTTAAAGGTATACGGTGTGACTAGGGCTCCGTGTTTTCGGATAAATTTGAAAAACTCAGAAAAACACTAGCCGGTAAAATTTGTGTCACTTTGGATTTATCCGATAAACTCCGAATTGATATGTCCCCATGCCAGCCCCCCTCCCCCACCCGCCGACCCCCCCCCCCCCCCCCCCCCCCCGAGCAAAAAAAAAAACTATGTAATTTTTTTTTTCTTACAATTTGAGCACCGCAGGATCAATGGTCCTGGGAAAACGACACCATAATTATATTTCAAGCCTCGGACCGTTGTCTAAAGGAGGTCTTAAGACTTGTCTCGTCAAGGTTGGTTCAGGGAAACAGGTCATCATTCCATTCGTGTCACGGCAAAAGCCACTCTTTTGGTTTCCAGTTTGGGCCATGGGATTTGGGATTGAGAGAAAGGAGAGGGTATGATTCTGGGGGTAACAGTGAAAGCTATGGACTATAGATATTGTATAAAATAGGAAAGAGGGGCAGTTGAAACTTGCCTATTACCATCCTTAACCACTCCACCTTGCACGATTCCGGCTGACCTGCCAAGTGGCTAGCTTCCATGGACGCGTTATTGGGATGTTTTTGTTTTTCCGTCCACATTTGGGTAATCTTTAGGTAAAAATAAATGCTGGTTTGCACTCGTTATCACCACAAACGTCTATTGAACGTCTATCACGTGCGCATGCGAACAAAACAACCGCTGAAACTAGCCTATTGAACAGTGGAATACGCCACGCACGATTGTACTATTTGGAATGCTTTGAGCGCCGTAGATCACGTAACTACCATAAAAGGACAATTTCAAAACCACTTCGGTGCACCTTTAACGTTGCCGGAGAATTAGGCGGAATTTGAAGTAAGGGGGGAGGGGTTTAGCGACGCACTTTCGTGTCTTGGTTGGGTCGCCGCATTGTATTGTTTACTTGTAGAAAGAAGGTGCATTGACTTCTCCCTCTCGTTTTTCTATCGTCGAGGTGCCTATATAAGCATCTTTTCTTGGAAATAAAAAAAATTCAGCTGTGTTCGACACTTTTAGTGTTCGGATCGTTTATTGCCTGCAGTCTTGGTGTTGATGTCATGTTCACCAGCACTTAAATGACTGGATTATGATAACAACTATGGCATATTTGTATACGACGGGCAACACATGTAATGTGCCAGCTAGGGCCTATGTATCAAAACGTAATTATGAAATTTGAGGCAATCAATTCGCTAATTATCACTTTTCACTTTATACCCGACGTCTGCTGTTATTTAGCGTTATCCTGAAGTATTACTGAATTTTAAACGACAAATTCTTTTTATTTTGAACTATATAAGCCATACGTGTGAAACACCCGGGAATTAATCCGGTGATGTACGCTCTTCGAATTCAAACATTCATCGAAAACAAGGCAAAACTTTTATGAAAACGTCAAAGTATGCGTTTTAATTAGCGTAGTGGTTTGTGTATTTTATGCTGCAAATGTGGGTATAAATACTTGCCTTTTAGTTGATTTATTATATACCTGTTCTGCGCCAAGTGTAAAACCAAGTGGTCATTTAATAGATAGCATTTTTGCATAAACATTTTTGAGGCCACTTATTTTAACGTTAAACGTATTTTTTTTAAATAAACATGATCGTTTATATCTCAATGTGTATAAATTTAAATTACCATCTTTTTATTAAAACAAATACTTCAGTATGAAACATGTCTTCACAAACATATAGTTAAATATGCGAATATATATATTTTAATATTAAAACACCGCAGAAGCCATCGCGTTTTATTTGTCCGCTGATATAAATGTTAAATGTATATCTAATTTTTGTAAGTAAGTTAACTTTTCCGATAAATGTTAGACAGCACTCACGTCAATGGCGTAATAAAAAAGCGTAAAAGATGGAGTTGGCTCGTATTCACTAAACGTGAAAAGTCCACCCAGAAGAGTTTTTTGCTTTGCCCACATGCGTACAGTAACATGTACGCATGTGGCTTTTCCCACATCCGTACAGTAACAAGCACAGCGGCTTGACATTACAAGCCGCTGTGCTTGTAATGTCAAAACATGGCGTTGCCCCCAACATTTCCTGGTAAACAGAAATAAAACAAACAAGTGAATGCATCAGAGTTTATTCTCCCCTTTCTAAAGGCAACTCGCTACACCTCTACTTTTATCAAACTCTTTCCGCCAAAGGTAAATGTCATATGGCGTTTCCTACCAGCAGGCAGTGAACCAGACATAACCTTGAATATACGTCACAAAGCACAGCTGCTTCAGAATTCTACTGTTTTGGCAACCGAAGAGGTTGCGGTCTTCCAGTTTACTCTAAAGTGAATGGGTGTTCGTATAGTAAAGCTATATTTTGTGTCCGTCTACCGATCCAAGAGTTTGAAATGAAAGTTTTGATAACGGCGCCGCTGTTTGCATTATTCTCGTTCGTTGCGCTTGAGGACCTGGCTATTCCTAACGAAATTTCAGGTGGGTATTTTGTGCTCATCAATTTGGAAACGGCGTTCATTCATAACGGAATATGTAACCAATCTCTGCTCCACTGTCATTGCGCGACGCAGCAGAGGCTGGTTGCACTATCTCTCCACGGGGCGCGGTGCCGCCGGGGGTGAGATGCGCTCCGATAGCAAACCAAAACTGAAAAACCCGTCGATTTTGTGCGGTTTTTCAGAAAGCCGTAAATTGCTTCGCGTGCCTTCTATCGTTCTGCAATTTGTTGATTTAGTGTTTTTTGATGATGCTGAGCAATTTCCTAATTTAAACCGTGCCCTTAAACACAATATTAAAAAGTTAATTACGCAAATATATTTAACAACTTAATTATCCCGGACTTGAATAATTTTTATAAATGGGCCCCTGGCCCCGGACCAAAACGCCACAAGCCTTTTTTCGTTGCGATGAGTAGTTTTCGCAGGAGCGACTTGACTTGAGTTCTCTGAAACAGTCCTGTATATCAAGTTCGGCATTTTCAATATTGATAAACAGAGAGTGTATCCGTCACAATTAATTGTTTTAATTAAACCGTTTAAATAATTAATTATTGAATTCATTAAATTCAACTCAAGTTCAAATAATTGTTTCATTGAGCACATATTTAATAAAACTAATAATTATTTTGTAAAAGAAGTCGCAATTTAAGCAGATTATTTTTTAAGAAATGTGAAATATTGAAATCTTTCCAAGGCTCGGTCTGTGTAAATTGACCATTGCACCAGCAGTTATATTGGCATAAAAAAGTCACATGATAGAAATTTAGATCGAAGGTGTATTTGAGATATATGAAAACGAAGTTTCCAGCTCATTTTGAACGAAAAATATGAATAATTTCGTCGCCGAATCTAAGAACAATATATGCAATTACGAAAGCGAGTGATACCTTTGAATTATTAAATGCGGCTTATAACTTGGGCTTGAACATTTTTATTAAAAGTTTTGTACCAGTATTACAAAAACGTACAATACTCAGCTTGATAATTAACTGCTGGAATGGAAATTGAGGGAATTATTGAAGACGAGCGTGTTGCTGAATAGATATGTATATATTAATGTATTCAACGTTGAGGACGGGGAAGGAAATACAAAGAAAGAAGTTCTCTTTCCGTCCCGTCCTCGATGTTTTATCCTTTCATACATGCTTACCTATTAAGGTAGTATAAACTCTAGCTTTACTGCAAGAATAAAAAGCAACTACATTTTTGAGTATCACTTGACAACTTCAGTCTCACTCTGAGTATTTCCTAATCAGTCAGCTATTCTTATTGCCGTAGATGGTGTGATTATGTCGGCCTTAATGACAAAAATGCATAAGACCACATTTTAAGCGGCTGTACTGAGCCAAGGTGCAGCAGCTTAGCACACTTCTAAAACAATTTATAATACACTAGACGGAAAACGTTTTACATAAATGGAAATTATAGTATGCCAATTTGAAATGTTTACGACATCGCAACGTGTTTGTTAGAACTGATCTCATCTCTTCAGGGTGCCAATCCGGATAATGAAGATGATTAAGATGTTTTGCGGGGACAATGCGTTTAATTGTAGATAGAATAACTGGTAATAATTTTTACAGCAAGCTCGTATACGTCATGTTAACATGGAAACTCAATATGGATTATATAGCTAACTAAAGCCCAGATATTAGCTTCTTTGTAAAGCAGAGATGTCACCGTTATTCTTCCTTACATTCTCCACAGGAGCCACGAAGCAAGCGAAAACAAGGAAATGCCACACACCAGGTGAAACACGTAGATCATAAACACACTTAAGTTCATCAACCATAATGTCGGCTACGTTCATATTCAGTGCACATTCTTTGAGGTTTTGAAAGTTATAATGGGACAAAACAAAATTGGCTTTAGATCATGCAATACAACTAGAAGTAGAAAAAAATAGTATTTAAATGTCAATTTATGTCAACACCGTTAAAATCATTAAGAATGTGGGTACGGTGTTTCCATATTGGCACTAATTAAAAAATATTAATTTAGAACTTCAAAATAAACTTCTAGTCAGGTGAACCTGGTGTATAAAACATTAAAGTGAAAGATGCGACGGGCGTCAGGGATGAATGGGCGACTGTCTCAAAGCAGCTCATTACCACTATGGCTGGGCATCAATTAAAAATGTTAAAATCATTAATCGGCAATCTTTAATCTATTAATTAGTTGATTAATTGGTCGATCGCGTTAATGCCAGGCATAATAGTGACAAAAATGCAAGAGCACATTTTATGTAGTTTTTTTAAGCGATAACTTTCCGGGACGACACTTGGCAGAGATGTTGACCTCGTCGGCTGTCGCCGCACGCGCGAAAAATGGAAAATCTTTCTTTCTCTCGCCTTTTGGGCCGAGGAAAGGGAAGTCGGGAATTCCCGTCGGCCGTGCCACGCGATGAGAGCGAAGAGGGCAGCTCTGGCGTCTTGCCAAGAATGGCGCGACGAAAGGAGACTCTTCGTGTCGTCTGCTTAAAAGACTTGTTTTCAAACATTACTGCGAAATCACACTTTCCCATATCCAGTTGCCACGCGTAAAGTGTGATGCTTTTAGAAACTTCCGCCGCGCTTACCCACTTCCTTCGCGTATCACACTGGTGGCGGTACTCAGTGGCATTCCCGACGCCAAACACGACGGCTGTGAAAATTAAACATGTTGCACATCCGTCCTCAAGTATGTGACGACACCCTTCCACCCGCATTACGCGACCGTGCTACAGCTATCGTTTTTGTTTCTTTGTATATGGTTGGCGCCAAATACGACTTTTTTATATAAACGCCACAATATGGATTTTGTGCTTGTGATGGACATGTGCAGTCGTGTACAGTCTAAATATATTTATATATTATTTAATATTTTCCGGCGAAGCCATAGTGAGAGTTTTCTGGTATTCTTCGACGTGACTATGAACGATCGAGTTTCTTGCTTCTTACCAATCACCTTGTTGCACTACAAAAAATCTGAAGAGACTTTGAACCAGGAGATATGCCAATTTTAATGAACTAGACGACTTCAGAACCGAGAAAGACCGCCATCCCCACTCCAGTTCGCCGTTCCTCACGTCGGCTGTGTAACGAAACCCAGGCTATTTCGCTAGCCAGTCGACACTGTGGCCCGTCGCTTTTCAGTGGCACGGCGCACGGCTGGCCCATTGTGAAAGTCGCCTGTTTTGAGAGGATTGACAACGTTGGTAGTTCAACTTCAACGACGAATTATTAAAAAAAATATCTTTCTAATTGTTGCCTATAACGCCTCAGAGTGGTAGCCCTCTATGGCAGAGGAGCGAGGGATAAACCCGGTCATATATAGCACTGACCGGGTGCGCAGACAGACAAGTGAAAGTGAAGCTACGGGACTTAGTCGCTCTCCGGCTGCCGGCAACCAGATGTCTTTGAGGAGCGCCCTGTCTGCGTTGGACTAGCTGGACACCGCTCTCCTGTGTGTCGCGGACGACTAGAAAAGGTGATGGGCTTTTCGTAAATTGAACGCGGCCTTCTCTGGAACCAGCCCTGCCTCAACCAAGACTAGTGTTGTTCTTGTTTGTGAGTTTGTTTCGGCGAGCACGGTAGTGGTTGCAGAAGGAAATTAAAAAGCAATTTTTGTTTAAATATTTGTCATGGCTTTTCCGGTTGCAAGTTCGAAACTAAACTGTTAAATTTTGTTATCGAGATTAAAGCGTTATTCGATTGATGGGAAGGTTATTGAATGAATTGCCCAGCCCGAGTTAGTACTGCTCTTATGCATGATGTACCTTCAAGAACGTTCCGAATCAAAACACTAGAAGAAAATATCAAATGGATTGAAATTTTCCAAAAAAAAAAGTAGCTAGTTATGAAAAAAAGATTTGGCCCGAGTTCGAACCGGGCCGAGTCGGACCGCCAACAATGCGTTTGCTGGCTAGCCATCAGTCCAACTGATTAGGAACGGTACGATTTATCAAAACTTCGAGAAAGGTAGAAAGTAACATTTAGGAAGCTAGAGTAATGTTGGGGTTATCTGTGTTTTGATAAACACTGGGAGCTCGACCAGTTTGTTTTTCCTGAAAATAATTTTTTTTTAGGTTTTAATAGTAAAAAGGAGAAGCAAAAAAACTAAATCAGATTTAGGACGTTATAGACGAACTTAAAGTGCGAGTGTTTATATTCGTGTAGGCTACATGATCAAAGGCGAGGGATGATAATTAATGCACAGAGCTGTATTTATAGACTGTAAGCGTGTTTCTCATAGAGTGTGATGCTGGGTTGCTAAAGTGTGGCAAGGTTCCCTAACAATTTATATTTCGAAGTTGACTTGCATTTTTTTTCTACGCAGGAAAACCGGTTGTTACAATTGGTTACATTGTGCATGGATTTAATATTACATCTGAGGTCAAATTGGAGCCTGATTTTCATTACTGGCAAAGTGAACTCCTAAGACAGGTAAATTGCCTTGCGGTGTTGTCAGACTAAAATTGTAACTGAAGTATTTAAAACGTTGTTTTCAGTTTGAACGGCGCAAGAAACCGGTTCGAGTGTTGTGATAATTAAATTAAGCTAAATACAAATATTTTTATTTTGATACCTGCACCGAATAGCCGGCCTATCCAGTACTCCACAAATATTCACTTGTGAAACAACTTTATTTGTAATGGCGTCAATAAAGGTGCATATACAAATTTATCGTCAAAATTAAGATACGCGCAAAGCATTATGAAACGTGTCTAGTTATTGAGGTGGTATTTCGCATATAGAATGGGTAATTTTATTGTACGATTTGTTCCACCAATAGTCACAAGACACCCTACAAAAGCCGCTTACCCCAAAACTATCGTAGAGTCGTACCGGGAAAGTTCTTTATTATTACCGGGAAATTTGTTATAATCCACCGACCAGAGGAGCGCTGGATCCGCATTCTCGGAGTTCCCTTTCACGAAGAAGGAGGCGCCCTGGAATGGCTCAGCCAACTTCATGGCTTCGTGGAAACAGCATCTCCATCTCATCCGACGCATCGCCACGCATTTCGGGGGCGCAGGTACCCGCACTATTCGTATCCTCACACGGGCAGTATTGACATCCAAGGCCTGCTACGGAGCTGCTTGGGGCTGACCTCACAAAAGCGCAAATCTCCCAATTGGAAGTACTCCACCGCGCGTGCCTCCGTGCCATTAACGGGCCTCTCCCATCATGCTCTTACGGAAGATCTGCACCACTATACCGACTTTCCTCCCACCCAAGCGATAATTGACACTCGCAACGCGGGCCACCTCTGCCGACGGTTATCCTCTGTGGCTGGACAGCTGCTCCTGACTCACCAACACCAAGTACCTCGCCGTTCTCCACGGAAGCCGCGAGGCCCAATCCTCAAGAGTGTCCCTCCATGGGAAGACTTCATGGTGCGTCTCCCCAAGCCTCTCACCCTCAGAACCAGCCGGGAAGAGCATCGAGAGGAAAAAGCATCCCTAGCCGACCGCAAAGACAACACCAATAGCTACCTTTACCGACATTGCCTGGTGTGAAGCCACCCAACGAGCCACCCTTCCGTGGGTCACCGGCACTGACGCGCATGCCGAGACATACCACTACGCACAAGACCCCACCACCTGTCGCCATTAACTAGATTCCATCCCTCTGACACTAGCCCATCTAAAACCCAACAGACCTCAAGCCAGCTCCCCTGAACCCATCCGGCTTCTGGTTTATACGGACAGCAGAGAGGCCATCACTAGGCTTGTGACCACACCCCGTAAGGGCTCCCTCTGCCAGCGCATTAAGACCCTATGCGCTGAGCTGCTCTCCACCCACAACATAGAAGTGCGGGTGGATTGGGTACCGGGACACGCGGGCGGCCAAGGCAGTAAGGCCGCTCATGCGTGAGCGAGCGCGCAGTCAAGTATCTGCTCCGACCCGGATATTTCGGTCCCACCCCGCACTACTCAACCCGATCCCTGGGGAAAAAAGGCCGCAGCCAAGAAGGCAGATCGCCTTAGTCTCAAGGAGCAGACCTCAGCCAACCCTTCACCCCTATCGAGAGGTCTGCCTAAAGGTGCACAAGTGCTCATTCATAAATCACGCACCGGGGCCGCTCTTACTGAAGACGTCCTAGCCCGATGGAGAACCTACACCCCCAAGAGAGGGCGCCCGCCTGGCGTTCCTCTCTTGGGGGTGTAGGTGAGGTGAGGTGGATGTACCCAGGCGGTACATCCACCTCACACACGAGTTCCCACTCCGCGTCAGCGCAGTCAACAGAGGTTCCCAGCCCGGTGGTGACCTGCTCTACATTGTCTGCAGGCGTTCCCCCTACGGTCCGACATCTACTGTGGGAGTGCGCGGGGCTCCCAACTGAACGGAGATGTTTTCTAGACCCCAATGTTCGCGCCTACGAGGACTGGATTAACCCCAAGAGTAGTGCCTGTGCGAAAGAGACGCTGCTGTTCCTCTGGGACCTCTTAAAACGAAGGTTCGGGCAAGTTGGTTGTTCATGAGTGATAAGGAAACAGCGCACCCCCAAAACAAGCACTCTAAGCTTTCATGCACACAAAAAAAAGAGCCACTTACACAGTGCTGACTGACAAGTCTACGTTATATTTACAATTTTCGTTTTCGTCTTTCTTTGTGGACTATGGTTTCTATGGTCAAAAATTGCCGTTTTCTTCTTCCTTTTTTTTCCTGTATTTTTGTAATAGGAAGCTAAACCATAAAATTATTGTATGGCTAAGTACTCTAGTTCTTTGTTGGATAACATTATGGAAGGAGTGCTGACACATCTCTCTCACCTTTTGCCTCGCAATGTTCTCTGCTTCCATAATTTCTCTTGTCAGCTTGTCGTAGTTCCTGCCTGACACTGTACATTTCTCCAGCTGCGCTGAGCAGCTACAGTCTCGGCAGTGAATTCCCAGGTGTCCGGAGTTCTTGTTGGTGATAGTGCAGCTGTGCTCACGAAGGCGATCGTTGACGCACCGTACAGTGTACCGAAAAGGTGGTCTACTCCTTCACTCTATCCTGTGGACGACAATACGTAGGACAGACCGGACGGTGCGTCAACGATCGCCTTCGTGAGCACAACTGCACTATCACCAACTAGAATTCCGGACACCTGGGAATTCGCTGCCGAGACTGTGGCTGCTCAGCGCAGCTGGAGAAATGCACAGTGTTAGGCAGGAACTACGACAAGCTGACAAGAGAAAGCATGGAAGCAGAGAACATTGCCAGGCAAAAGGAGAGATGTGTCAGTACTTCTTCCATAATGTTATCCAACAAAAAACTAGAGTACTTAGCCATACCATAATTTTATGGTTTTGCTTCCTATTACAAAAACACAGGAAAAAGAAGAAAAAACAAACGGGCAATTTTTTACCATAGAAACCCTAGTCCACAAAGAAAGACGAAAACGAAAATTGTAGATATAACGTAGAGTTGTCAGTCACCGCTGTGTAAGTGGCTCTTTCTTTTGTGTGCATGAAAGCTTAGAGTGCTTGTTTTGAGGGTGCGCTGTTTCCTTGTCACTCTGGGACTTTCCGCGCGCGACGGGCATTGACCTAAAAATATAACCTTAATTTTCGTTTTCTTTAATCCTCCCTGAAAACCGTCCCCTCCAGGCCGTCGCGCCATCTTTATCTTAATAAAGTGTAACAACAACAATCTTTTGTATTTAAGTCGAAATAGCTACAATATAAGCACCCAGGCTTAATTAAAACCAAAATATTATTCAACCCTATATTGCTCGCTAAGGTGGATAAAACAATTCACCAAGCCTTCATTCTGAAGTCATTATAAAGAGACACTTGTTCTGAGTTTTCACTTCATTGTCCCCTGCTTCGCGATTTATAAGCAAAACTAGGCAGAACTGAGCAATCAAATCATATAAAATCTAAACAAAAATTATCATGTTTAAAAAGAGGAGCCCCGACAGGAGCGCCACGTAAATTCCTCGCCCATCGGCCTGGTTCGTCAATTCCGAAGATAGGGCCCGTCATTCCAAACCTCCGCTTTCGGGGCACAAAGATGACATAGTCATAGTAACGCAGGAAAAGGGGGAAAAAAGGGGACGGACAGCACACGACTCCAAACTCAGTCAAAATTGTAGTAGTCCAAGACATTATGAAATATTCCAAAGACCTAGCAGGAGTACAAACTGAGCGTTAAAAACAAAATAAAAAAACACGAAGAAACTAAAAACTAAAAGCAAACAGAAATACACACAGAATGATGAACACAACTAAAGAACCCACGAAGAAACTAGGAACTAGCAACGAAAGGACAAAGGCAACCATGGATACCAAAGCAAAGTCACAATCCTCCAGCCTCCCGCCCCCTTTTTCTCCCCTGTCTACCTTGTCTATCTTAAGCCAGCTCGCTGTACTCTAAAGTTTTAAAAAAACTTAGTGACTGACAGCTGACCTAGAACTTAGTGATTTAATATTGAAGCGCGAACCTTAGTGTGACCCCTCACCCATCAGACGTAGAACGTGCCTCCAGGCTTAAAACCTTGAAGGCTAACAAGAACAGGCCCATCAATGAAAAGTTTTTGCGTTATAAAAATAACTTGTAACATTGCGAAAACGGGGGGGGGGGGGGGGGGGGGGGGGTTGTGTCAGCACAAGATGTGTTGTTGCAAATAAGTGATTCGAAACTTTTGGGGAGGAGTTTTCCTTTTTTTCTTAGGCAATTTTCAATGTGACAAAGTTATTTTGAACAGGTGTTAACTTTATCGTATATTTTTAGTTATTATGACAACCTAAGCATTAATAATAATTCCGAGAAAGATAGAACTATTCTCACTATGTTTTGTTAGGTTATTCCATAGACAAAATATATTCAAACACATTAAGTTGCTTTAGAGGTTCTTCGCTCAAAGCTCTCTACCTGAAAACTTCGTTTCGTTTAATTTCATTTAAGCCACTGTAAACATAGAAATAAAACAACGCAAACGAATATTCTCTAATTTTAACTATCTCATAACTTGAGTCTGTCAATATATCTTATTTAGAGGCAATGTAATGCTAGCCAGCCCTTATGTAGGGTGGGAGTTTTGGGAAATGAATAGTACCATCCTTTTTCTTTGAAACGATTTATGTACATCTGTAACGAATTTTGTTTAATGTTGATTCATATGTTCGTTCGCTTGATCATAAAAATTAATGTTTCCGCAGGCAAACGAATGGCTGCAGGAGTATAAGGTAAACATAAGACTTGAAAATACGACTGTCGCACAAGTAAGTGAATGCAATACATAACGTGTGATTTTTTAATCAAATAGCTATACCTCTTCCCACTTAGGCTACTAGCACGCAGTCGACAAGAATAGAAAAGTGGAGAAGCAAAAATGGTTATGTTAGTCCCTTTGAGGTTCTGAGATACCTAAAAGAAGATATAAAAAATCACACAAAGTATAACCCTGATATTGTCATCCTTGTTACAAAGTGAGTATGGCAGTAATTGAAAGTAACTGTTTCGAAATAAACCAACGATCTTTCACCTTGGTCCATAATTCCAATATCTAAGGGTAACCCTTTGTCAGTAAAGCTTTTTGTTTATCTTGTACAAATTAAGTATGATATTAAATAAAATTTACCATTAAAAACAGGTATGACGCCTTAACTGGGCAAGACATCCCCATAACGAAAAATAGTTTTTCACCAGAGAGTATTTTTAGTGTACTCAATACTGTGATATGTAGAAAATATGGTGGCTGTTGTAGAGAAAAAGCATCATTCTTTTTTTCTTGAGCTATTCGTCTTAACTTAGTTTCCATTCTCACGCATAGTACGCTCGAAAGCAGTTGCTGGTTTACAGCATTTGTATTATTTGTGTGAACTGTGAATGAAGTCTACACCCAAACCCATACATTCATGATACAATTACAAATAACAAAGACAATATGACATATTTATACATCATTCCACAGGATTCTCCATAAATCTGTTTGATATTACTGCATATTATATGCATATTTCAGAATGAACAACCAGCTTGCTTGCTCTTTTTAATAAATATGCAAAAACTATATAAACTGTGACGTTCGAAAATACCTACATTAAAATTACAAATAAAGCTTTTTTTATATAGATAATGGTGTAACCTCTTCCATTTTTTTTACATCTAAGTAGCTTAGTTTGCGTGCTCTCTCACATATAGTTTCAGATTGTATTTTAAGCTTTTAAATAAAAAGTATGTCCAATTAAAAGAATAGGGTCCGCGTTATATGAGTCGACAAGCGTGTTCGTTAAGTTCACAAAAATAACCACGTCTGCCCAAGTTATATATCGCTGTTATGAACTCGTAGGATGCACCTTCATAGGTTTCTTCAAGCGTGCCTGCTTTGTTTCCTACTTAGCGAAGTTGCATCCCCAACTAAAATGGAAGCAGTTTTTTGGGGTTTTTTTTTCTTCAGAAACTTTTGTGGTTGCACGTTGGACTTCTAGACATGTTTGCTTGGAAAATATTTAATTTAATGTTATAAATGTCCTCCCTGATTGCAAACAACAGACATTGACACCCACTGAAACGTTAATGCAATCCTGCAAATGAGCAGTGCTGTACGCCAACCTGAACGAAGAAATTAATAATATGACACTTCTCTTTGTTTATCTCAACCTTGCTGTCATGTCCTTAGATACATCGCCTACTGTCGTATTTCCCCCATGCAAAAAATAGCATGTTTGAAAATGATAAAAAGTAAAAGTTTCTTCTGCTCCCCTGCACGATCTGACTGACGAGTGAGAAACAAAAGTTAAAAGACTTAACACGTCTGCTTGTAAATTCCGCCCCCCCCCCCCCCAAATTTTTTTAAATATTTACATCGTTTGATGCATTTTTGTGGGCGTAATTTTGTGGCCTCGCCTGGTGCTTACAAAACTAAGAACCTTTTCCTGGCTCTCATTGTTTGGAGATAATTCTACTAAGATCATATGACGGGCTAGTCGGTTATACATTACATAATTAAAAGTAGCGCTAAAGACGAGGGCAAGTAAAAGACACGGACATGCACAAGCACTGACCCATAACTGATATTTAGTCAAGATTGAAAGGAAGAAAGCAGAAGTTCAAGAGCATATTCGAAATGAGAATGAACACTAAAGAAGCCGAAAGAAAGCAACAATTAATTGCCAATGTCTATGTCTTTTACTTGTCCCCGTCTTTAGCGCTGCATTTAATTGTGTAATGCTTGGAGAAATTGACGTGAAATATTTGTTGTAAGATTGTTTCCGAATGCCGTAATAGTATTTATATTGACAATATATTCATATTTTGTAAACAAAATGTATAAATATTACATTATTGTCTTCAAAATATATTCCGAGATTGCCTTTACGCTTCAGCTTCAAACGATAACAAACATGGCTGAGTTTGTGGAGTACTCAACGACCGTAGCTCGTTGAGCTCGTTTATTTGTACGAGTGCGAGTCGTTCTAGTTCGCCAATATTTTTAGAGCGATATCTCCTCAACCGACCTAGTTGGCATCAAACAACTGTCACATGTACGCGCGTTCGGAAGCGCTGTGCAGGTGCTTGGGTTCATAGCAGGACTGGGCTAGGCCTAGCGTCCCACGCCTTCGGAACTTTGTGCGGGTGGGTGCTTGAGTAAGTACCGGGACTGTCCTAAGCCTTGCGTCCCACGTCAACTATGCTGCTTCATCTGGCTTGATTTGTTCCTTTGCAAGTGTTAATTGTTGTTTAATAAAGGTGTTGGTTCCCGTAAAAGCGGCCCCGCTGCTCTCTGAATTGTGAAAAGGTTTTGATTGCAACAACGGTTTAATACCGGGGAGATGCCTCCTACCTACACAGGCAGGAATTTGCGAGCCATTTGAATGGAGGCAGTCGGGTGTTAATTTGTTTATGTACGCGTCACATCGCTTCAGAAAGCAAGTATCTCTCAACCTTTTCAGTCCACCTGGCCTACAAAGGCGAATATTTTTACGTCGCGTTTGAATTGCCCGTCACAAAGCTCACCCAGCGTAATGGCGGTGGGTAGGTTAAAAAATATCAAGAACACTAAAGCTTGAAATACAACATATTTATTTTGGTAATTTTGTTTAATCCTCTCGGCCACCTTTTACCGCGCATCGATAGACGCTGACGGACGCTTGTATTGAACCGTTTCCCGTGCATGATAGAACGCTAGAACGCCGCTTTCATGGTCGGGTCTTCTTAACGTTGCAGAAGGGTTCAGACGGGGCCGAAATAGCAGACGGACGGAGGCGAAAACGGACGCCGTCGTGCAGCTTTCGTGTCCGCGTCTCACGGGCACAGCGGACGACGACAGACCATAACAGACTATGCCTGTGGCTGCCGCACGTCTGCTTGCACGAGTAGCATGGGGTGTCAGACCCGACTAGACGTACCGGATATCGCGAAAGAGAGACACTAGCCTTCTTAGCTGGTTCGGTCGAACAGCCAAACCAATCCAGTAGTAATGGGCGGGGCCGCTGATCTTTTGGACGGGACTTAGAGCCTGCCGTAATTTCCAACTAATTTTTTCTAACAACGTAAATATTAAAAAAAAAAAAAAACTCTTTCGGTGGAAATACAAAACAAAAAATTAGGCCCTTTAAAAAATTGTTATTGTTTTTCTTCAGCAGCATTTAGGGACATCCCGGTTCAGTCATTCTGACGAAAACTGAACTCCAAACATCATATGGTACCTTTCGTTCCTTGTGGTATTTGATTTTGATGTCGTCTTGCAAAAGAGCAAATTGTGTCCCTACATTCATATCTAGTCTTTCCTCAGTGTTTTGGATCCAGTGTGGGATATTACTCCGACAAACTGTAGAGTCTTTATCGTTATTGCCATCATGCAACACAGTCGAAGGTCGCCTTGAAAAGTTTTGTTTTCAAACACATCAATGATAACCTGTCTGTTATAACATCTGGTCTCAAAAGCCACCGAATTTGTTGTAAGCGAAATATTATATATTGAAAATTTATAGATGAGCAGGTTGAAGGCATATATGCCGGGAAATGCGTACGTTTATTGATGCATTTATAATGAGCGAGGAAATTGGCGGTTATATGTTTATCAATAATAAACTTTAAGAACAGAACTGCATCAGAGAGGGCTCAACCAAGACACACATTATTTTATTCTAACAATTTCAGTTGTGTATAGCTCTGTGAATATTACACCATGCTCATTTTCAGAGTACCTCTGACCCTCTATACTTTGGGTGAGTACATTTAGACATATCAGTGCACTATTTATAATATATATCTAGAATGGAGATAAAAAACGAGAAATATAAATGGAGGCTTTAAAGAGCATTATAGAGTGTTTCTAGGTAATCAGAGCACGAATCTGCCGGACCCAATGACCATATTTTGTGAAGAAAGCCGTAGTTTAGGATATAAATCTTTTATAAAATGCCTGCGATTTTCATTTTAAATATGATTAGAGTGAAGCACCCAACACAGAATCATTTGTGGTTTCGATATTCAGTCAAAACAAATGCAAGATGTTTGCATGCAGGATGGGACAGAATTCCGCAGTGAACACCTAGTGCATATTCAATAACTTTTTTTATTTTTTCACTGCTAAAAATATTGAGATGTTAACTTGCGATGATTGAGTGACTACTTTCTAGTGATCATCATTTATCTGCTGTGCTTCTCACCTTTTCCTTAAACGCTTCTGAGAAATTAGATACTTAAACATTAAGACAAATTACTTTGAATTTGATTCATACAATCTAAATCATCTTGAGAGAAAGGTTTAATTTTAATTGTAGGAAAATATATTTAAGATTTATGGGAAAAAAACTCAGTGCAATACTCCATTCATGACTTCTTGTATGTTGCCTATCTTTTCAAGGTTTTGGTTCATACGAGCCGCTTTGTCATGACGTTGTGCCAATATTTTTAACATACAAGAAGGAGTTGGTTAAAGATACAGGCGATCGTTTGGGTCAGGTGATTTTAAACAGGTACGGTTTCTTCAATAATTAATAGATGTGCCTTAGACCAATATTTCAAACTCTTTGGTTACTTTTTCATACCGTTGTGCCACGGACGAGGAATTTTCATATACACGTCAGTTTTTATTGCCTTCGATGTATACAGTCTCTTTATTACTATCGTTTGATATCTAAATAAACTGTAAAGTAACTTGCATGACCGAAACAGAACGTGAGAGATGTACAACATGACATTTGAATACTTATGTTTTCTACTAAAAATACCTCAAAGTGCCTTTTTGCTTACTTAATTATTTGACGACAGAGTACGGCCATGTGTATGTATTTAGTTTGCTGCAGTGTAAAATTGCTTGAACTGTAATTTTAAATTATTTACATCCAGTTTTTTTTTCTACAGTTTATAAAATTAAGGTGGATGAGTCAGCAGGTTTATTATTTTCATATTCAATATCGCGAAAGTCAACTGTTTTTAATACGAATCATAATCCTAAAAATAATAGAAAATACGTTATAACGTCTGCAAGTCAAAAGCTCTTTGCGCCGAACAAAATGACATCATTATTGAAAACAAATGACTAGCTGTTATTTCGGTAGTTCACATAACTCGGTCATACCTGGTTACAGAACAGCGCCATCTATGTTGGTTTTCTTCCCTAAAATACCTCACTGGCAGACGTGCTCAATGGGCGCTTGTAGTGCAGGAGTATGACTTTACTCTGGTATACAAATTTGGCCGCAAACATAAAAACGCCGCTAGTTTATCTCGATGCCATATGGACAAACCTCGTGAGCGCCTGAATAACATGGATGAGGTTTTTTGATGTTGCAACAGTCAGACTTGAATGTATATCAGAGTCCTTCAAGACAGTACTGGTAACAAAACTTTGGCCAAAATTTGGTAGAATGGCAAACACCGACACCAGAAGTACCATTGACTTGGAAAGATCTTTTTTTTTTGTGGCCCTTCCATTCCAGTCAGCCACCCCAATTACGCGATTACAAGTAGTGTTCAAAAACAATTTCACTTAAACCGACATTTTTTACTCCTGCCTATTTATTATTGTAAGCAAGCAATGCTTTATATATCAGCAATAACAGAACTTACAAATGCGTTTTCTTCGTGTGCTTTCAAGAAGGGGGAAAAACGTAAATTTGCAAGCAAAAAATACTCGGGCGATTGAGCGTGCGGGTTCGAAGCGCCTCTACTTGGTAGATCTACTCTCGGCGGTGAAGTTTACAGGCGATCGCAGTATTGATGATTCATTCTTAGGCAAGAAAACGAACGAAGAATCATATTATTTTGAAGAATGTTGCACAAATAAAATTTTATCAGTTTAGCGAAAATAGAGAGCTGAAGACGCTTAGATTACCGAGAAACTTTGTCAATGTGATGACGAGTCACGGCGATCTCTTGGTGGCTCGTTCAAAGTAGGCTCAGGCTCGAAATTCTGATGTCACTCACTTTCTGGTTGTCAGACTTTTCGCCCCCTTCTCGGTGCTAGCGCCACGCGCGGTTGAGCACTAAGCTCTGCCATTGCGTTACGGAGTGGGTTTCGTGACCAGCAGCGTATTGTAGGACTCTGGTATTACTTTAGAGGTGTCCAAGGATCCAAGTATATAACTCGAAGGAAGTAACATCACAATATATTTAAGCCGTAATATTTTTTTTAGAAAGCACTTACCACCCGTCCTATAAAAGACGGCGCCTCAACATTTCACAAGACGTAGAAAGTTAAATTGTGTAGTTTCTTGCAAAATGTGTATGAACATTCTTCAATCGTTCTATGATCAAACAATCTCAGACATATAATATTTAAAGAGTGATAAAAAAATTCTCTCTCATTATGGAACGCTTCTCCGCGCCCCAATTTGAGAGGTTTGTCTTCAAGTAAGTCCAGTTGTACTTTAAATACAAGCATAAAAAAAGCCCGCCACTTCACCTGCAGCATTGCTGCAACGTTCAGTGTGTCGAGCACGCCCTTCCGACGTGTAGGGATATATTTTGTTTGGTCAATTAAAATTATTATCATAAGGCCATTGATAAACTGTCACAGCAGTCGACCACTTAACTCGATACGCTGAGGCGGCTGCATTAAGGTTTGCTACATCAGAGCAAATGGCAGGGTTTATGGTTCAAAATAGGCTTGTCCGTAATGGCGCGCCACAAGTCCTTTAAAGTGACCATGGACGTCTGTTCTTTTCTACGTTTTTACAGGACTCTCGCTGACATGATCTCCATGTTAATTATTTCTGACCACACAAACTGGGACACAGTACTACCTTTCGTGACTTTTGCATAAAATACGGCCCTCGAGTACACCACGCACCTTTCTCATTTTCACTTAGTGTATGGTCGCGAAGCTTTGATCACCTTGGACACCATCTTTCTTGTGATCAGGACATCCGAATGAAACAAACTCTAGAACAACTTCATTTTCCGCGCCGAGGTATGCCGTTAGCTCGCACAATCACACACACCAAGACAACAACAAACTGCTAAAGTTGAAGGTGAATTTTGTGGAGTGTATATAAGAAGGTGACCAAATAAACTTGTCTTTAGCTGTGTTAGAGACGTGTCTTCGACTGTTCATTTTTCTTCTACTTCGAAACTTTCATCTTTTCCTGCCTGAGTCTCGGGCTAAGAACAAAATGGTTAACATCCACCAGCTCGCCTGCGCAATCACTACATTATCATTGCTAAAGGACGCTAGGACAAGCAGCACACCCATACCAGATTTACTCCTGTCGATCTCGTGTGGGTTTGTACCCCCTCGCTACAAGCTTGCCGAGCTGACAATTTCCTCCACAAATACATTGGACCTTAACATATTGTCAAGCAAGCATGCCCCGTTCCCTACTTTTCCGGGCCTGTGTCTTCATCCAGTGATTACCGCCAACAGACGTCAGAGGCTCCACATGTGAACCGATAAAGATCTACCACCCGCCCCCGAGCACAACTTCGCTCCATCACTAACAAGACACCTGTAATTGCGACCCACCACCTGGGACGGGGAAAGGGGGAGGGGGAACTGTAATTTTTTTGTATCGTCGTCTTTGTTGGACATAGCCTACAACCAAATGTTTAAGGAAAAAACATGAACCTTGAATTAGTTTCCAGATTGGTTTCTGATCTAGGAAGCTGCTTCTCAATACTCCGGCTTATGATAAGATCAGTACTACGCCTAAAAGGCAGTTATCCTCCAATCGGTAGAATAACTACTTTTAATATTAGTTTGCAAACAGCAGAACCCAAACCCAAACTAAGAAGATTTACGACCGTTTTTGTGATTGAGGACGCGTTAAATATGCACATAAATATATTGAAGATGCCGGCCTTAATACACTCACATTTGCACACTGACGGTTCGTGCCGTGACACGTGCTTCCAGTAGAACACTTGACCCTGCGTGCTCAGCACTTTTGTTTGTAAGCACAGTCACGCTCTTTGATGTTGCTTAGATTTAGTTGACGCAAATATCAGGAGGAGGCATCAACTATCAATCCTGTGTATATTACAGCGTTATATGGACATAATTGAAAAAGCTCAATGTCTTACTTCGATTGCGTTCTTAAATTACATTTGAAGGGCTATTGCAACGAAATTTCGGCGCTCATTTCTTGGTGCATACTTGTTCAAGGGAGCAGTATCACATCACACACACTTATCTCTTTCTGAAAAAAGACACAAAAATAAAATTTCAAACGAATTTAACGATCAGCAAAGGGCACCTGGTGGATGTCGCTAAAACCACGTGTGTAATGCCCGTCTAGGAATCCTGAAAGGTGGTGGCATGCCTTGAACAAGTCGTCATGCCGCCTGCTCTCAGGCCACCACGAGAAAAAAGGGGAAGGAGGAACTCTCCTCTCACTGGAACTCTTTTATGTGTATTTTGTACTCAAAATTCCTACAAAAGCAGCATTTGGGGTTAGTTACGGTGGCCCGATCGCTGGCAAAGCTTCGGCCGCTTCGGTGGCTGGAACGGCTAGGACACCCTGTCGGCGTCAGCCTCGCTGAAGCTTTGTTTCTCCTGAGACAATCTATGTCACGACTTCGCCGGATGTCGCGTGTTCTGCGCTGGCTACTCTCCGAGCGCTTGCCAGAGTGACACGTTTATAACAAAAAAATACAGCCATCAGGCTCAAAATTCAAACGTGTGTGTAATTTACAAATTTCCTTGATCATATCAAGCCTATTTTTGAACACGACGGGTGTATTTCAAATTTCGTTGAAGTACCCCTTTAAAATAGTGCATTAACCACGTATTGTGATGGTATACGAACAATTACCTAGAAAAAGCCACTAGAAATTGGAAGCTTGCGTTCAATTTAGGACGTTACTGAAGCATCAGTGCCTTTTCTTAGAAATGTTCATATACGCTGAAAGTTCCTTGTTATTAATGAAATAAATACTTATATATAATTAGAATAAAACAAGCATAACCTATTTTTTTCAGCTTAAATATAAATAACTACAATACCTGGAATAGAATGCGAGAAGCAGATCGGTGGCACTACTTTGAGTAAGTGTAATATTTGATTTACTCGAAATGCGCCTTATGTATGTAAAAAGTCTTTATTTCGTTCATTTTCTTTATTATACTTCAAGGGTTCCAGTGCGGCACTACATAAGGCGGTAATAAATACAGGCATGTGAGACACGTTAAACAGAAAGCTAGTAAACAACTTATCAAACGTTGTTCGCGCTCATTGAATATATGCAACTTCCTACTGAAAAAACGCCCGTCGAGTGAGCTCTGTTAAAAATAAAGGATGATCAAATATTGTTAAAATGGAAACATGTACATTTTTCATATATGACCTCCTTTCTATTCTCCCCTCTTCTCCTGCCGAACATTCTCAGCCCCGTAGCTCGATAAAGATTAGCCTCTAGACGCAGTTGATTTGAAACAGAGGTTCAGAAAGCGCAAACAGTTGGCTATATTTTGCTTGACAACAGAAAGAAGAAACTTCGTCGTTCCTTGCCCCGAGTTGGTTTTATTATTTTTATTGTCAGTGAATGCTTCCCACGCGCTCTTCAGTTAATGTATATTCTGCTCCTGCCAGGATATTTGATATATTTAAACCAAATATAAAATCACATTTCATGGATGGCCGTTGTTAGCTTTAAGTCGTTTAGAAGGCATTAAACAATTGTTTAGGAGTGGTGATGAGGAACTTCTTGTGTATTCGTTTTCCCGTTAAACTTATCGATTAAGTCGGGGCGTTATCTGACACCATGCACGACTTGGCACCGTAGCCCTAGGTAACGCGACCAAGTCGCGTAACATTAACAATTGACGTCAATTTCACCCTGAACTTTAGCGGCGAAATTTACAGCACGTGACCTGAAATCCCGCGACGTGGCCGTGTGAAGTGACGTCGCACTGGCACGTGATCTGACATCACTTAGCGGCAAATCATATGACTCAAGCTACCCGCAATTTCAGTGAGAAAAAACTGACGTCACGGTGTTAAGCCGTAGAGTTACATGACGTCATAAGTTGTAAGGTCACGTACGTCATTTAGTCCTCTAAATTTAGCAGAAAAATAGATGTCCCGCAACCTTACGTCACGCGTGCTTCTCAAGTGATGTTACGTCACTGCGTTAGGTCGTGGAGTAACCTGAAGTTATAGGGTCACGTGACGTCAATTTCCACGCAAAATTTTCTGGGGGAATGCACGGCCGGACAGACGCACATGGCGTACAAATTTTAGTATTGCCTGGTTCCTCTAAAAAATGTTCTATTCTTCAAAAACAACAGTTTAGATTTCACCACAAACCAATTTGCTTTTAGCATCACTAGGAATATACAAAATTCACATGGTCGGGGCTCCCTCTACTAGCTACCTCTTTACTCAATAAAAAAGGAATATTTGTACTAATTTATGAATTTGAATTTAATTCTTTTTCACGTGACGATTCTTTCTTGACTCTGATATATATATATATATATATATATATATATATATATATATATATATATATATATATATATATATATATATAGATGAAGTAAGGTATGTATAAAAACAATGGGCCGGGAAACCTTAATAAGTCAAAGATGCGTACTGTCGGAGTTACTTTGAATTAGTAACTCCGACAGAACGCATCTTTGACTTATTATATATATATATATATATATATATGAAAATTATATATATATATATATATATATATATAATGGGATTGAGTGAAGATTGACAAGTGCAGCCGTAGTAATATTGAGAACGAAGAGGGGAGAAGGTGATTATTGAATTTATTGCATTAAAGTTAGGGAAAGGGAAAGAGAGCTGGCGAAAAATTGGGCCAGGAGCGGGGATTGAACCCGCAACCTTCGCCTGTCCGGGGCGACGCCTTAACCGATTAGACCATCCTGGCCACTGGTTTCGGCGGACTCAATTTCTGACCAGCTCTCTGTGGTCAGAGAGCTGGTCAGCTCTCTGGTCAGCTCTCTGACCCCCGCTTTGACCCCCGCTCCTGGCCCAATTTTTCGCCAGCTCTCTTTCCCTTTCCCTAACTTTAATGCAATAAACTCAATAATCACCTTCTCCCCTCTTCGTTCACAATATATATATATATTGTGTGTGTAAAGTAATGAAGTCGCACATCGAAGCGTTGTTGGTGCTTTAAAGCATTTAGTGTGAGACCTTCAACTTAAGGAAAATTAAATGCTTATAGTCCGTTGCAACCTAAGAACGAAGGGCGAGGGTAAGACGGGGCGGGGAGGAGGAAGCAGACAGAACGCTAGAGAAGAGAGAGGGAAACCTCCTTCTCTCTTTAGCGTTCCGTCTGCTTCCTCCTCCCCGGCCCGACTTACCCTCGCCCTTCGTTCTTAGGTTGCAACGGACTATAGGTACGTATTTTTAGAGAAAAAAAGAATGAAAAACGTTTACAATTTTTTGTAATGCCGAATGAGAGCACAGCTCTAGAGGAGGGGGAGGAAGGGTAGGGTGGGGGATGGGAGAGTACGGAGGGGAATTTACCGGGAAATTTTAAAACAATTTCCCGGTAAATTCTCCTGCTAAATATAACGGGGACATTTTTCTGCCAAATCGATTCTAAATTTAGCGGTGAAGTTTACCCGCTGAATTTCTTGTCAAAATTTCCCCGCTAAGTTTAACGGGACAATTTCCCCACTAAATGTAGCGGAAAAAATTGCCCACTAAATATTGCGAAAAAATTTCCCCGCTAGATGTAGCGGTAAACGTTTCCCCTAAATTTATCAGAGAAATTTTCCGCTAAATTTGGCATAAAAATTTATCGCCAAATTTAGGCGCCGTGTGACGACATTCTCATAACGTCCCACGTGATGTCAAGTACGACGTCATTATGGCAAACGTCTAATAACACAACGCGCGGTTGCGATGACGGCGATGCCGCTCACGCCGGAAACAGGCGCCTAAGAGCTGCGCCCTAAATCTAAGGTTTTCATTATGTGATCCTTAAATGTATCGATTTGGGTAGTTTAGTATCACTGCTAACCTAGTGCGCTTAACCTATAACAGCAGTGGAGCGATCTTAAAAATGTTTTGGTGACAGATTTTTTATTTTGTTTTTTTTTTATTTCAGGAAATGCGTAGCACAAAGGTTGCAAGAAGACTACTTTTGAAAGAAGGTTCGACGCACGTCGCGTAGACGAAGGTGTGCAAAGCAATTATATCTACTGCTTGGGCTTGAATTAAAAAAAAAAACGCAGTAAAATCTGTACTTTCTGCAGTTTTTTTTTATTTTTAACAGATCATTAACGGTTTTGTGAATGGATCTCTCTATCTGTGTTTCTCGCGGGTTTACCATGTGCATACTTACATTAAGAAAAAGTTTACTTAAAATTTCGGTGTCCAGCTACACTAAACATAATATATGCATTAATCACACTGCCCAATTCCGTGACCCATGTTCAAACTAACTTTTTACAAATATACTTATGAGCCTCAGAAAAGGTTTCTGTCTGACCTGAAAGGTAAGAGGTTAAACTTTTCCCTAAACGACATTATGCAAACCAAAGAAAACGTTGATGCTTCACTTTAACCAGCTCACCTTCCTTCTTACTTTCTTTTAAATCTTCATGTTACAGTGCAAAGTTTTGCTTCGTAAACTCAAGTTTTGGTGTTATGTATAGACAAGTTGTGGACACCCTATGTTATATGACTTTCAAGTGTTAGCCTATCTTGTTCGAGCGCAGTTATTTTTGTAGAAAAAGTATAAACCTGTGTAGGGAGAAAAGTTTTATATTTAGGTTAATATGCTTATTACGTCCTGCTCCCCACCATTCTGTCATCAGATGTCGATTACTACTCTGCTAAGTTTTTCGACAGACAGCAATTTTTACACCCTGCGTCATGTAAGTAACAGTCGCCGGTTCGAGTGGAAGGGACTAGATATTCAAGCAGAAGAATACGACATCTTCATGCACTCTGGCAAGAGCAGCTAAAAGTGCAAGGTTCGTTCAAGGCGCGCCAATCCTTCTGCGACGATGCTTATCGGCGTGGCATCTGATGGTTTGGGCTACACCCAGAACTGGGATCACTGAATCCACCATCGGCGGAAAGGAGAGCAGAGAATGGGCACATGCAGGGCAATTGTTGTACATTGTTCGCCTGCTTGTGAGACTCTAGTCATGGAGTAGTGTAGAGATACATAAAGAGTGGGCCATAAAGAGGGGGCCTATCGCTGCTCAGCTATTAGGATTCACAACACCCACTAGCTGGGAGAGTGGCACCTAATTATTTATTCATTCGTTTTATTCGTACAATTAGAAATATTGTTGCTTTAATTTACGTATTTTTAAATCTATTAGTACTTTCGAACGCTTTGAAAAATATTACAACGATTGCGACGGGGGATTTGCCAAGACGCACGAATTCGCAGCCACCATAACGGCAGCCAAGGTTGCGCGGGGCGGATGCAGCGTGCTGTTGCTGTCATTGTGTGGGTTTCTCGACGTTATTTCTTTGTGGCGAAAGCTAAAAGGTGAAAGCACAACCACGTGGAGAGTGTTTCAAGCCTCTCTTGAGCATCAGCCATGTCGTCCAAAAGCTTGTTTGTACTTCCCATATATTTAACCAAGTTAATGTTACAAACACGAACGTGTTTCCCTGAACAACGCTTTTACTTCACGAGCGTACGTACACCACTGGTTCGTTTGAAGCATCAAGCTCACTCTCGTAGCTCCTCGTTTGCTCGCCCTTGCGGTGAAATGGAGTACATAATTCTAGTGACGCCAGTAAAACAGTTGTTTTTGCTATGGTTGTCTTTGTGGTGTGGGAATTCCCTTCTGAGCGAATGACACGACGCAGTGGTCCAACAGCACGTAGTTATTTATTCACTATCATCGCCCGCACCTCGATCCTAAAAGCCCCCGCACTTCAGCTGCAACGGCCTTTTGTCAACAATGGAGCGCCCCTCGCGTGGCCAAATGTACTTGGCCCCCTGGCGGTGAAAATGACCGTTGCTGGTTTGGCATGCGCGCCACCTGGCCCAACGCTTAAGATTACCAGCTGTCCACACAGTTCCCCCCTTAAAATACAGAAAGGAAACGTATCAGGAGGTTTGGGGTGCCCTCCCTTCTGGTTCAGTCAGGGTTGCCGCAGATAGGCAAGCACCGGTCTGATGTCAGCAATTCCAGACAGTACGGATGCGGCTGTGGGGGTATGATAATGAGAACTGCGTCGCCGTAACTACGCAGCATGCATGTGTCTAGGTCTCTCGGACTCCTGGTATGGACTGCACTTTCTTCTGCCAGCCGGTGTGTGACCTCCGGATCGGCCGTGTGTCTCCACTATCTATTTTGTGCTAGAGAATGTCAGTCTTCTCAGGTATCTGTGTGAACATTTGTGGGAATGCGCCCAATAGTTGTCTCAAACGTGAGCGGTGCGGGTCAGGGCCAGAGAATGAACTTATTGCGACGCGGAGAGACTCCGAAGTGGGGAATTCCTCACCTATCGCACTCTGAATAGGATCAGTCACCACTGGCCTCATGCTTCAAAATCTAGGACTATTTTTCTCAACCAATAAAATCTTCTCCGACAAGAATAGGAAAGACAAGACCCGGCAGGCACGTGAAATGTCGGCCTTGCCGCACATCAAAGCGTAGCTTCAGGCGAGTTCCTTCAGCAGCAGAGATAACTCCAACCGACATCATACGTAACTTCCTTTGAGAAGGCCACATTTAGACATTTCGCTCGCTCCATAGTTTTCCGACGAAGTCTCCGAAAACTGAAATCGCTGATCATGTATATAAAATGGCTGCAATCTGCTGGCCTACACTGTTCACGATCTTGTACGGCTCTCATACACAATCTCTATGTTGGCGGTTGGCGTTAAGAGATTGTATAAAGTATGTGGCTGGGTACAACCAAGACTTTCGAACCAGTTGGTCATATGCCTTCAGTCGGCTGATCCACTACACCATGGTTCCTATAACAACCATTGTGACATGAGGTGAGGGACACACCCAGGTGACCATCCTGGGTGTGTCCCTGGATTTTTTTTTACTCTCCTTTTTTTCCTTTAATATTGCTATCTTAGAAACAAACACCCTGTATCCGACATTTTAAAACTTCAAGCCACCTGTTTTGCTTTATCAAGTAATCCATCAATAAATATAATGCATACTGTTATTCTTTTTGGGAGAAGCCATAAAAACACCCACTGTAGGCGCAACATTCGCTTCAAGTCAATGACGATAATTTAAAAACAGTGTTTTATTTGTTACACATAAATCAACAGATTTATGTTTATGTGCCGTCGCTTGTCACCAGATGGCAGGGTCAAGCAGTGTAATTGCAAGTAGCTAGGCTAGGTGGCGCTAGGTACCGCCCAATTCATGTTCTACAAAAATATTTGTATTCCCTTAGACCACCATTGCGCATGGGCATCTTCGGGAACCTGTACAATGCACACATGTAGACACATTACGCATACTACAAGCATTAGGTGAACATATATTGAGTGCATACACATAAATGACACAAACATCAATACAGCGGCAGGTGAGCTCTGCGTTTCCATCTTTTATACTGGTCGTTTTGAACGTACGGAATTTCTCGGTAACTCCCTAAGCAATAAAAAATGTTCCCAGCATGTTGATTATTTTTTTTTCAGCAATGTCATACCTCTGAGAGTATATTGAATGGCTCAGGGGAAGAATTTTTTATAAAAAAGTAAACGCTCGATTATGCCGCAATTATTTGAAAGCCAATAAATCAAGCCGCTCCAATGCGGTTCGAAGCCATGAGTTTGTTTCCCCGCACGGCACGTCGTAGCCTGTATTTCTATTGTAGCGTTTGTTTTTCTATTTGTGCTGTTCGCGCACGGCTGCAATTTCCGTCTTAAAATAATCTCTGTAGAGCGGATATTCACTCAGCTGGAAGTGGTGCTTCACGGGCAGAGAAATCGCTTTTCGATCAACCTGAATGCAGTCAAAGCCGCGACTTGTACGGAGCTACGCCGTGGCGAGCTCGAAAACTTCTAGCGCTCATCCCAGCGCGCCACTTAACCAGGAACCGTAGTACATTTAAACAGCAAAATAAAGGGTTGCTTTCTTTCTTTCTAGATTTTACCTACTATTTGTTTTTAATGCTAAAATTCCACACTGTAAATATAGGTGATTTCCGTCAAAATTTCGTACTGTTCAGTCCTTACCCCAGAGCGCAATCGGTCTCGGCGAGGAGACTACCGACAGTCACATTGGCCACTGTACGATAGGAGCTTACTGTTCAGACCAGCGTTCCAACATCAATATCCGCAAGTCGATCGATTGCACGTGCCTAATCCCTGAAGTGGTCTCAAACTTTTTAATGTAAAGCGGGATGTCAACCTGCGACGCCCCGCCCCCTCCGATCACGCCCCGACCAGCGGCATGAATGCCCGACAGTTTACGCCATCTCATCTTGCTACACCACTGATACGCAAACACACGGTCACATCGGCGATAATTCCAGTTTTCTGTTCATAACTCACAAAACTGCCATCACGATGTTGCTGCTATGTTGCTGACACGCAGAAGTACAGAACCACGTTGAACGCCGGTTGGCATTTGGCATGAGGAAACAGAACCGAACTCAGCGCGGAAGGCGAACAAGCAGCCGGCAGCAAAACCTGCCGGTCTTGGACGCAGTTCCTGCGACTTCCATAACGTCGAAAACGTCAGCGCAGTTCGGCGTGGTTCCGCTACTGTAGTTCCGCGTTGGTCCCGCAATCCACCCTGCGCCAAGGAGGATAGAAGGGTAGGAGAGGGCATGACGCCAGCCGCGTAGCCTCCACAAGCCATGCTCCCTTGACGCCTCGCCTCTTTCTCATTTTTCTCTTGACTTACCAGGCCAAAGTGACCACATCACGTGACCGAAGCTAGCCTTCGTCTAGCTCTGGGGTAATAGAATACACCACAGTCTAGCGTTCGACCTGATAAACCCTACCGGACGGAGCGCACGCAAGCCTGCAAAGAGTCCTTCTACAATCAACCATCCATCTCACACGTGACATGTCACGCGCACCAATCGCCAGAGAGATCTACGGTCACGTTCGCCACAACATCGTTTAAACTTTTTATGACTAGGCTTCACCAGTATTGTAACGTCCCCCTCCTAGTACTTCTAACCTCCTTGCCCT